TAGGGCTTTTTGTAGTTAGAACAGCTTTTCCTGGATTCTTTTGGAGCTGTCTTTTTTTTGTCAAATTTGTTAATGATTTATTTTTATTTCACACTGGCTTAAACTATGCTTGGAGGCTTTGCCGACTGTCTTTGGTTAATGGGATTTTATTTATTTGAAATAAAATGGTTTTTTTTTTGTTAAAAATAAAAAATAGAATATAATTACGGAAGGAATGCACATGCTCAGTGAGTAACTCCAACTAGGTGCAGGAAATGTGACATATTAAAATCTGAATTTACTGCTGTTGGCACTGAAGCTTCTGTGTTGGCCCCTGAGCCAAAAAATCAGTTATTCCCTCTGCTGTAACAGACAGCCTATATTATGAGAGGAGACTAAAATAATTCGACTTGTTTAGCCTGGCAAAATGAAGGATGAGGGAGGTTATGACCAATCTCCATAAATATCTCCAGAGGTAAACACAAGAGACAGCTAATAACTATTGAAGATAACGGACAATGTTTGCACAAGAACAAGTGTTTATAAACTAGCCATGAATAAATTTAGAGTGGAAATCAGAAGAAAGTTTCAGAGGAGAGAGACTGGGGAGCAGCCCCACCGTAGGAGTGGTGGGGCATGAAAAACCTAACTAATTTTAAGGTGGAACTTGATACAATTATGAAGGTGATGATATAACAAGATTGCCTTTGAGAGCAGGGGAATGGACTGTATAACCTACCAGGTCCTACCCAGACCTGCGTCCCTATGATTTTAAAGTGCTTTAAAAATTGTTGTGGTGCACTCGGAGGTGGCCGCATGCCAGTAACCAGTGAAATTATTCTGTTGATGTAGGTTTTTTTGTCTAGTTGGTCTGGAGAGAAGAGAAGCCCCTGGTACTTTTTGTTTAGTACAGCTTCCTCTGGTACCATGGCAGTGAGTACCATAGAGAACAGGAAGCGGTACCATAAGGAGCTGAGCTCTGCTGTGTCCAGGGAAAAGCCACAGGAGTGGACAACATGAGGGGTCTTCTCTCACTGTGACAGTCTGAGGCCTTACTCTCAAGCTAAGGCCTTTTGCTGAGTAGCAGGCATAGCCATAAGCTGGGAGACATATGATCATGTCCTCACACATCCCAAACCAACCAAATGGAAATATAGCTATTTTGGGCTGTTAGAAAGGCGATCCGATCTATCGTCGCCAGATAAAGGGAAGAGACTAGAAGGTTTAAAGAAAACGTAGGTTGATACTGTTCTGTCTGGCAAGGACCCACTTACCAATAGTTAGGGTTGTGAAATCCTCATTTCTTTATTGTTCTGTCATTATGGTCCCCACGTCTCTACTGTTTATCTGTAGGGTTTCTGTCTGCTGTATAACTAATTTTGCCATGTAAACCAGTTGAGGTGATGGGATATCATTAGTTAACCATGTTACAATATATTAGGATTGGTTAGTTAAGTGTCAGTAAAATGATTAAGATGTGACATTATTGAGCTGTCATATGAACATACACATCAGTGTTGTGCAATCACTGTTAGATGTCTGCACCAAATCTTGCACAAAGTGGGCCAAGTGAGGTTGGTGATGATTCACTGGTTCTGTTTATACTATTGGTATGCACCTATCATGTTTTGTATTTGGAGTTGTGAGGATTGGCTATGTACTTGTATTTCAGATATTTATTTCTGGGATACCTCAACAGGAGGCTTGGCCAGCCTATTGTGAAAGGGCGGTTTAGCCACGTGAATAGAAGTGCTTGACTGACAGTGGGCCTTGGGAGGCGCCAATGCACATCTGAGGAGAGTTTCTGTGAGCGTTCCTACCGTCATAGGAGCAATGGCGTCGTCCTGTACAAAACTGAGTCATGCATGGACAGGCGACTTGCGCACGGGACAAACTGAGTCTTGAGAGACCAATGGGATTCCCTCCACATGGCTGAGGGGATATATAAAGGGGCCTGGAAAACTCTGCCTTTTGTCTTCAGTCCTGCTTCTCACCTCTGGGGATCTTTGCTATGAATTAAGCTCTGAACAGAGGACTGAATGACCCCCTCCCAGCTGTGGATGCATTCTAGAGACTTGATTTAAACCAGCAGATTATTCTATCAAAGCTACAAGTCCGCACCAAGAACTTTGCAATAGTTGTTTGTATTTGATTCCATTAACAATTTTAACTCTCATCCTTTTTTTTTTTTTCTTTTATAAATAAAGCTTTAGATTTTAGATTCTAAAGGATTGGCTCCAGCATGCCTTTTGGGTAAGATCTGAGTTGTAAATTGACCTGGGAACATGGCTGGTCCTTTGGGATCAGAAGAACCTTTTTATTTGCTGAGATACGTTATGGAAATCTATCATCTGTACATGGAGTGGCACTGGTGGTGGCATAGGAGAACTGGAATGTGTGGGGGAATTACTTGCCTGGCTTCTTGTCAGCCAGTGTGGTGCTGGAGGCACGGGGCAAGACAGCAATTCTCAGTCCTGGATACCACAAGAACCGTCACGGGCATTGTTGGTGGTCAGTAAACCGCTCTCATTTTAATTTATATTAAGTGTTTTTTGTAGCACAATTTGCTGTGCTTTGAATGAGATAAAGCAACTTCTTTGCTACTTGTAAGAATCCCAGAAGAAGGTGTTAAGGCCAATGTCCCGTCCAAATGCAGATCAGAAAAATAGATTCTTCCTGCTGTACCTGTAGCAAATTCGCCGTGTGATTTCAATTGGCTATAGTATTGCTGCTCATGTCCTGCCCTGAATACTAATGTTAGCATTGCCGGGTGCTGTGACATAGCTGCTATAGTTGTAAACTCACATATTCCTTCACATATCTGCAGACTTCGGTTATTTTAATAATGCATTAAAAAAACTCCTTGCGCCTGCCCACCCTCAGTGCTGGCACAGATGCTGCGTGTTGCTGTCGTTGCTCAAAGTGACAAGAAAGCAGCTCGACTGCTGCAGCTGCCACCAGCAGCCTGGTGCTGCATCCCCCACGGCACCATCTGGGGCCATTTTACTGTTCCAATGGGATGGGTCCCTGCGATGCAGACCCACAGCCTCCTTCTCTCAGATAAACCTTTGCTGACCAGCACCAACTTTTTTCTTCCCTGAGATATTAGTGTGAGATGCTCTGCATGTCCCTAGACATCTTGCTCCTTTCCAAGGTAGATTGGGACAAATAGCCGTTTTCGTACAGCGACACCCTCACATTCCTGTGCTCATTCTGCAGAGCACATTACCAGTGGCTCTCTTGTAAACTGCAGCTGGTTTTTATGGCAGAGAAGCTAAGGACAGGGGCTCATCTGAGGAGCTTAAACTCTGGTCTTATTCTTTATGCCAAATCTCTGTCCAATTGCAACAGCTCTGATTCTCCCTCGCATGCCGTCACCCTGCCTGTGTTCTGTTGACACAGGACTAGTCACTGTGCGGACCTGTCAGGCTCTGTGAGCCCTAGTATATTGAATCTGGTTCCCTGCGAGCAGCTCATTGTTCTTGACTCCAGAATTAGGATCATCATTTGCATGCTTGCCAGTTGCATAACTGGCACGTCAGGACGTGCAAGGCTGACAGCCGGGAGTACGCCAGAGGGAGAGGAAAAGGAAGGCAGATGGGTTTAACACTCCAGCATACTGCAGCTGTCTGATTTCAAGTGCTCAGTTTAACACCAAAGAACACCCAGTGCCAGCCAGGACAATTTACTTTATTTAAATATGGTTTGACTGATTTATTTTTTTAGGCATTTAAACTCTGAGTCCTTGAGAGTTGTGAGAGAGTATCTTTCATTGATATTCATTTGGGGTCTATAAATGCACCACGCAACCTATTGTAATGCATCTAGTATTTAAATCTCAGGGCTTGATTCTTGACAATATAGGCTTAGATTATTGTGCATATAAACACAACATAAAAGGCCAGGGAGTACAAGGGAGTGTGGTCCTGCAGCCACCCTTACTTCCTGCCTAGCAGCAGAACTGAGACACAAGAGGAGTAGGAACAGCTAGGCACCTCATACACTATGTCTATACTGAGGCGCTATTTTGGGTTATCAGAGGTATCCCAAAATAACGATCCCATGTCTTAACAGCACACCCGTTATTTCAAAATATAACGGGCTCGCTATTCCGATGTCCCTGTAAACCTTGTTCCATGAGGATTAAGGGACGTTTCAGAATTGCGGGTTATTTTGAAATATGGTACTGTGTAGACAGCACGAAATTAAAAAAATAAGCTATTTCGCAATTGCCTCAAAATAAGGGATGCAATTTGCATTGCTCAAATTACATCACTTATTTTGAGCTAGGGGTGCAGTGTAGATGCACCCATAAGGATCCCACTTAAGTCTACTCTCTCTCGTTCATCCCCTCTCCTTTTGTCATCCAGGGCATAGATCTTGGACAGTAAGGGAGTAGGCTCAGAGGAAGTAGAGATTTCACTCTCTGTGGAGGACTTGCACTGTTCTTCAACCTTGCTTATGCCCACAGATGGTGCTTGCTCACTATCTATGGAGTCTCTCAACCTACACCTCCCAGCAGTGCACTGAAGAAAGATTTTTAGGCTCAAGGCCTTTGTTACCTCCATAAGTGAGGGGTTTAGGCAAAACAGGAGTACCTGGTGCAAACATGTATCACCAGCTCTTTAGGATGCCATATTGTGTATCGAAAGAAAACTGCAATATTTAAAAAAAAAAAAAAGGTGTCCAGCATCTTCAAAAGCACAACGAAAGCCTACAGGGGCACTCGTCTTCTTCCTTTCCACCTTCCCCATTCCCTTCTTCCTCTCTCTCTTCCCCTTCCGTCTGTCACCCTATGCCTCCAAACACATGCTGATAAAGTTTTGGCACACAAGTGTTAGCTGCCATATGGGTATAATTTTAATGGATGAACACAGCATTCCAGGGTAAGATGAGATGAGATGAATGGGTGGATGTAATATTGCCCAGTGCCCTTTCAAAACAGTATTCTCTCTGCCAGGTAGCTCTGACAGTTGTTCAACTTAAGCCATCTTCACCCACCCTCTTGTTTCCCTCCTTACCTTTGGATCCATTGTTCTTCCAAGGCTCTCACGTCAGGGGGTCCCTTGCAAGATAATCCACCCACAGTCAGAGGCTTGCTCCTGCTGTCTCCCCTTCCGAGTGACGCTGTGATAGAAAAGAGGGGCAATTTTCACATGTACTCTGGGCAACAACTTGTTTGTACCGAATGAGGTGGGAGAAGCAGTGACTTATATGCAATGAGTTGCATATTGATTTGTAAGAGTCAACTTGTCCGATGAGCAGGCTTGAGGTCCATATGTGAACACTTGCCTGCAGATGATCATGTGTGCATCTACCCAATTGCATATGCAGTCAAATGCGCAAATGTAGACATACAAATGCATTTTTTGTGCATGTGAGTGAGCTTTTAATCACTGAAAATTTGGCTTTCAGAGTCACTGACTTTCATCTCCACCTTTTAGGGATCTAGGACTAGCTGTGCCCTTCTACCGTGTGCTGGTGTCTTTTTTGCTGTGCCGGGAATTTAGTAGTGCTCTCCTTCCTGGCGGTTTACTGGAAGACAAATGAAGTAAACTTTCAGTAGAAGGAGCTTTACCTTGAATTGCTCTTTCTTTTTCCATCAGAGGAACCTGAGTGGCGTTCATGAGGAACAAAAGTTGTACAGTTTGAACCTCTGTGATCCAGAATTCTCTGGTCCAGAGACATCCATGGTCTGGCAGGACCACAGATGTCACTGGACCAGAGAGCCCCAGCCACAGAGGTTGCCAGTGGCTGGGGGGGCCGGGGGGCGGGGGGGGCCGGGGGCCTG